TTTATGGATCCTTAGGTTTGATAAGATGAAAAGAATAAAAACCAAACTAAGACATTGATCTAAACTCTGACGTCGTTTGATTCTGGTGGACGAGCGACTGCGTAAACTTCCCTCTGATGTGTCGTCATTTCTGTTGACGCTCAGTTGACTTCCTGTTTCATCGCTGAGCTGATTACAAATAAAACTTTGGCCAACAGGAAATAACGGCCCCTCCCCCCGACAGAGACATGAGTCGTGTTGTGTCGTCATAGAAACACGTTTATTCCCTTGTTTTTAAGAAGCATCATCACGTTACATCATCAGAACCACTTCAGTACCTTTGTGGTCCTGATCCACACCTGACGGATCCTGAACCACCAATGCCTAAAACTATGTCCATGTGGGTGTGTGGAGGACAACATTACCCACAATCCTCTTCACGAGTCTGCTCAACAAAGCTCCCAACAAGTCCCATTAGTTCCAAACACGCCCCCTTAGGTCCAACAGGTCTCAGCTCGCAGACAAAAACAGAAATGAACTTCTGACCACAGACGAATGTTCAGCTAATGTTCTCCAGACGTCCTCCGACGTTCTGCCGGAGGCCACAATCATGTAGTTTTTCAGAATAAGAGCACATGATCAGTCTTGTATTTTGTCTCAGTTTGGACTGGATCAGAGTCCTGATTGGTCGATCAGGCGTGATGAAATCCATTTTCTACTCTGATCCAATCAGCTGTAGTGTTAACTAACAGAGCACAGATTGTCCAACACCTTCCCGCCCACTTGTCCAATCACAGTGCAGGGGGGGTGTCCAGCAAGGGGGTGTGGCTCAGAGACTCCCTCTTGTAAGTCTTGGGGGGGAGTTTGGGGACACTGTGTCGGGGGGGAATAGGGGGTCCATCCATGGGTACGAGGGGTGGGGAGGGGAGAGGCATCTTCCTGGAGGCGGGAGTTGGGCTTGGGGTGATGGGTGTGAGCGGAGGAAGGGGGGGCGAGGAGGCGGTGGAGACAGAACTGATGGTGGGTGAGGAGGTGGTGGTGGAGGGGAAGAAGGCCTGAGGCAGCAGGTCACAGCGAGGGCGACCCTGAGGGGGGGGGAGCAGGTGAAGAGGAGAACTAAGGGGCTCCCGAGGAGGCAGCGAGGGGGGGCTGTCAGGGGGGGATGACGATGACAACGATGACGAGTAACGAGGGGGGAGGAGCTTACATGTGGGCTGACGAGGGGGGACGGCAGGGGGGCTGTCCGGCTTCGACATCATCTGGAGGATGGAGGGATGGAGGGGGGGAGGGGGACAGTTGGTCAGTGTGGAGGAAACTGATCAATAAATCTGATCAGAGATCAATTTATCACATGACCCTTTTCTTTACAGATGATGATCAGCTGATTTTATTTTTCATCAAACACGTACAGAATTTGTAAACAATGTATGGAGAGCTGGAGTCGGGTAAAGGTGTGAATGGTGCAGGGTCTGAGCAGAACTCTGTCATGTACCTTGGAGGGGGAGGACTCAGCAGGCGCCGACTCTGGTCGTCTTCGAGGGGGAACAGGAGGAGGAACAGGAGCGTCCTCTGAGCCCCGACTGAAACTCACCATGGAGGAGACGGAGGAGGACCCTGAGACCAGAGGACACACAGAGACAAACACGGTCATGATCGACCACAGGTCAGGTGCACCTGTACTGTCCACCTGTTCCTAATATTCTGACCCTCGGGTGAATGTTAGGAAAAGCTGGATGTGCCTGCAGCTGATTGGTTCACAGAACACATGGTGATCTAACAGCTGATGGAGACGAACCTTTACAGTAACAATGTGACAGGATGTGAGTTGGATGTGTGAGATGCACTGATCAGATTATTCCTGATCAATAATCTGATCTAATGTCGACAGACAGGTGAGTCAACAGACGGGTGAGTCGTCGGGTGAGTCAACAGACGGGTGAGTCGTCGAGTGAGTCAACAGACGGGTGAGTCCACAGACGGGTGAGTCGTCAGGTGAGTGAGAGGTGGATACAAGTGACGGACATGTACAGAGTCGGGAGGGTCATACTAACGTGGACCATGAGGAAGAGAGAACACAGCAAAGATACTGTCGCAGTCTGTGAAGAGAAAAACACTGTGAGGAGGAGAACACACACAAACAGACACACACACACACACA